TGCAAACTTCGTCCAAACAATGTTTTCAAACGTATAAAGTCATTAAACACAGGAATATTTATTTTTTTAAACCCCAAGATAGCGATTATTTGAGGACGTCGAATGACGCTATTTATTATAAACACAGGAATATTAAAGGCTATGCTCAAATTTCTTACAAGGATAAATCAAGTAAATTAAAATATGTTCAGTGAAATCTAAAGAATCGATATAAATATTACAAAGAATGATTTAATACTTTTCATTTAATATTGTATAATCAGTTAGACTTACCCGGTCATTTTTTGAAGTCGGTTAAACTAAGTTCAAATGCAATTTTTTTTGGTTTATATTATATCTAAGTTTTTTTGAGCTAATACTATAACAACGTAAAAAAATTGGTATTTCTCAATATTTAGTTAATGGAAAAGATTAATCGGACAAGAAAAATATAAGTAAAAGTTCAGGTAACTTAACGTGTCAGAAAAATCTACTAATGACGGTTAGGAAAGAGCGAAATGGGCGAAAAATAGATAGCACCTTCAAACGATAACGAAAAGGTTATAATATCAGGTAAAGTAAGCGATTATCGATGCGAAAGTTTAAAAATGATTTCCTGCGGCTGCGCCATGATCGACGATAACGTCACTGCAAAATTGATGGCCGCCCTGGAGGACTCGTTATTATAAAATGCCACGTTCTAATAAAAGAAAACAACAAATAAGTATATTGTCCAGAAAGCAAGGTCGTTATACATCGCAAGAAATAACACAAGTAGAAATGATGTATGAAGAAGCACACCAAGTAGAAATAATACAAGATGAATTATTACAGGAAGATAAGACTATGCAAGAGGCTACTATAATGCCAAAAGAGATTGTGAAATAAGAAATAAGAGATTGTCATATACTGGAATGTCAAGAACAACTGCTTGAAGAAAAAAGCAAAAAGCTGATATATCATTAAATGTTGAAACATCACCTGATTTGTCACATTTGTTTCTAGCTGCTGATATCATAAAACGATTACGATTGTCACAACCACCTTCATCAATGCTATTAGCCAACGTTTTATCACTAGTTTCATAATCATCTTCATCAAAACCGTCTATTGAAATTCTAGAACAAACATCTTCTCCAACACCTATGTATAGCTTACCACCTCTTCAAATCAAAGAAAAGCTTGAAATGCATTTAAAAGAAGTTAATCAACAATATACAATTGTCAAATCTTCGAAGACTAATATATCCATATATAATTATTTGCGCCTTTTTAGCATAAGTAGATATATAAAACTGTTGCTGAATGGACAAGGCAAAATGAATGCAAGCATTTATCTTGCATAAACTATATAGAGTAAAGGCGACAGTGTAGCAAAACATATTAGAAAGTGGGAAAATCATTATGTAGGTAAGTATATAAGGAAATAGAATTTTAACCAAATTATCATTTGGAAAGCTATTTTAAAATCATCAAATTTCTTTAATAATGTTATTCATCTAATTACAAAAAAAGTTTCAATATTAGTTCAATAAGATTTAAATATTAAATGTCAGAACTTTTTCAAACTTATAATCGTATAAATCATATTTAGATCCTTCTTATAGTGTTGTAGTCAGTAGCATATAATAAGATTTCCATTGAGTTACATTTTCAAACACGCCATTATTTATCTGTAAAAATTTAATATAATTAGTTATATAATTTTGTAATTAAAATGAATAATAAAATATTTACAAGTTTTTTTTTTTGCTTTATATTTATCCAATCAGAGATGGAAGAACTCCTTGTTGATCGTCAAAGGAAGTATACCAAGTTGAAAAGCTTGATCAAAAATAAAGATTTTGCTGATGAGTGTTAAGCTTGGTTATATAGTTAAAAACCTAAATCGCGTTCTCCTAGTGCCTTAAAAATATATATTGAAAAGACAGTATTTCTCCAAATGGCAGAACAAGTTAAAAAAGATACTATTTCTAAAAGAACATGTTGAACCTATATACATTTATGGGGTTTAGATATGATAAAAAAAGGAAAGGAGTTTATTATAACGAATATGAGAGATCAGATGTGGTGATTTATAGAAGAGAATAGCTTAATAGAATGTTTATCTATAAGAAATATATAAAAAGTTTCAAAGGTGATATGTTAGAAATCATATTAGAATCTGAGCTTGAGCCTGATAAAAAAGAAATAGTACAGGTAATAATAATTAAATATTAATTTATAAAAACTACAGTGAATATATATATATATAATCATTATATATAGTAATTAATTACTAATGCTAATAATCCCCAATTAATTATGGGATTATTATTATATATATAATTACTAACTCGCACGAGTAATTAATTATTATATAATTATGTAGTAATTATAATTACGATTATATATAAAATAAAGGTTAAATATTATAGCGAATGTGGATGAATATAATTTATATTTAATTTACTACAATACTCATCTTTGCCATAATATCCCTCTTGATTTTATACTATTATTACAATACTAATTATAATAAATATTATTATATTACTATAGATAACACATGATGAATGCCATTTTTATGTGAATGATAGCCAATGGAGAATATAGATTGGAAAAAATGAAGATATTTTACGTCCAAAAGGAGAAGGTCGTTCTATTATGGTTTCAGCTTTTCTTTGTTCTTGTTACAGATTACTAAAACTATCAGATGAGTAGATGAAGGCAAATCCACATATAAAATATAAAGAAGCATTTGTTCTTCATTCTATACAAGTGGACAGATACTGAAAATCAGAACATATGTTGGAACAACTAGTATAACAAGCAATTTTAATATTTGAGGTACTTCATTCTGACTGTATTGGTATCTTCTGCTTTGACCAATTGACAAATCATAATGCAATGGCGGAAGATGTATTGGTAGCAACAAAAATGAATTTGGGTCCTGGGGATCACAGCCCAAACTGTGTAATAGCTGGTATATCAATGAAAATAGAGAAAAGATTGAACAACCAATGGTATTTCCAGATGATTACAAAGTAAAAATGCTGCAAGGAGAATCTAAAAGAATAAAAAACAAGTACTTGAAGAGTGTAATTTATGCCTGTCAAAAGGTGTTCGATTAATATATGAAAAATGTAAAAAAAAAGAAAATGATTTGGAAAGATTAAGTTGTTGTACTCTGAGAATAATATCTTAACAACCTGATTTTTGTGAACAAAAATTAATTTTAGAAGAACCAATTCTTAAACAAGGGTATATTTTTGAAAGATATTCTAAATTTTATTGCGAGTGTAATTTTATAGAAAGGTATTAGGGTATGTAAAACGAGAGATAAGAAAACTATGTAATTATAATTACTCTGACTTATTACAACAAGTTCCAACAGCTCTTGTCAATGTTCTTGTAACAAAAATTTAAAAATTTGCTCACAAGTTCTGGAGATATATGGATGCTTATGGCAAAGGTTTGAAAGGCAGAATTGCTGAATGGGCTGTCAAAAAATACAAATCGCATTGTTATCTATCTAAAAATATTGAAAAACTAATAGACTTAGATACTTTAAAAATATAATATTTTATTGTTTTATTATATTTAATTTTTTATATTTGTCTTCATTTGATATAATACTATAATAAAAAACATCCATGTAATACGATTAAGAAGAATCTATAATGATTAAGTATATATGTACCATTAAACATATTGATCGAAAATTTAATTTTTTTTTTTTATAATTTTATTGGTTAATCTAAGATCATGCGAAAATTGAAACATTTTACATGATTGGTAATTATAGATTTCTGTAACTATATATTAAGGCATCATAGATTTTGACAAAACTTTTGTATCTCTAAAGTTATTATTGATATTTTTTCTGAATTTCTTTTTTCCGATTTCTCCAATTGTTGAAATCAATATAATAATAATATTGCTTTTGAAATCATCATTCTGATCTGTTCTCCTGACTGCATATGATTAACAATCGTTGTTGGTTTTGTAGTAACAACCTCCTTTTTGACACTGAGATAAAATATTCTGTTAATCATGCATCTTTAACACATACCACCGAATTCTCTGCTATAAAAGGTACAAATATAGTAACTAGCTTTGTTTCATCTCTTTAAAAAAGAAAGGATTTTTGTTGCAGAAAATTTTTGCTTATTGACACATCTTTTCATGCGCGTGATTTTACTTTTTTATCTAGAAAGCTTAGGCAACATAGACAATTTGCAGCAAGGAAGAACTATGAGCAGTTTATGCTGATTTGTCCTAGTACCTTGTTGATTTTCATGCTTTTGCTTTCCAATATCGTTAAGATATCTATTTAAATATATTTTCTGTGTAATGTTATTAAAACTTGTAAGATATTTATCTCATATAATACACAGAGAAAGAATCATCCTTAGGCTGACGATCTGACTTTGTTGATAACTTTTTGTTGTAGATTTTTATTTTTATAAAAATAATCTAAACGAATGAATTTGATATTACAAATTGAGAGTCAAGGCTATTGGTTTTGGACACCACTTTGTTCATGTCAATTTCCTCAGAAATATTTTGCATTGTGTTCTCAAATTAATACTGGTAATTGTTGGCACTACCTTATTGCTAATTTATACTGTAAAAAATATTGAAATAAGATCTTTTGTATTAAAAATAAAAAAGCTCTATTTTCGGCATAGTATTTTGTAATTTTTATCATAGTTATACAAAATTTTTATTTTAAATATCTTAAATAAAAAAATCTTAGTTTATATTAGTAAGTGTATTGTATATAGATATTAATTTACAAATCTGTATAACAACTTTTATAAAGAAAGAATAAATCTTACTTAAGCTTAAAGTAGGTTTAAGGTTATTAATCTCATCTTTAGAAAACTTTCTCTTAACAAAATAATTAGATTTTCTACAAGGATCTAAAGCTGTACATAGCATAATGGTTGTGTTAGTTTTGGAGTAATACTGAACAAGTTTTTCTTATGCTGCAGTAGCTGCTCTAATAAGTAATAATGCTATAATTAAAATTATTTGTAAGTAATAAATCTAAAAAATTCTAATAACTTTAGTATTAGAAATTGGATCTATTAATTAGACCAATTGAATATAGTCTAATTGGTTTGATTGATAGGTCCAATTGCTAATACTTCTAACAACTAACTTTTAGAATTTGAGGCTGTATCTTCAACATAATTAAGAATTATGTTAAAGAGAGGAATAATCCAAGAAATTGTATAATATGAACTAGATGATATTTTGATTGTTAGATCCTTAAATAGCTTAAGAAATTCAGTGATTTTTTTTAAAATAGTCTATTAATTACAAGAAATAGCATAGTTATGAAGGTTATTATAATTGTTTGTAAGAGTATTTAATGCCTACAAATATTATAAATCTGTGCAGTTAACATACTAATATAATAGTAATAATAAATAATTAATTAAATAAAAAAATATTGTATAGACTCATTCCCATAGATCTTAATTTTATAAATAAGAAAACAAACAAAACAAAAAATGGCAAAGAGTAAAAGGCACAACTATACTATAATTAAATAATTATTATTACAAAGTAATGACATAGCAACAGACAAGCTAGTTAAAATTAAATGACATAGAGAGGCAGTCTTCTGTACTCCAGTATCCTTTCTAACTCTGTTGCTAACTATGTTGGCAACTGACAAAAAGAATAATAAAAACAACAAAAAGTATATAATAAGTTCTCAAGTAACGAAGATATGACTTATACATATTCATATAGAGAACAGTAGCCTGATAGATATACAAAACAAGAAAAGAAAGATTAAAGCTGTTAATAACACTTCAACTTCTATACAACCTACTGTTGATTATGATATTTTTGAAGAAAATATTAGGGAAATAGTAAATTCTAGCTTATTC